CTTGAGAGTCCCTTGGACTGCAAGGAGATCCAACCAGTCCATCCTAAAGGAGATCAGTCCTGGGTGTTCATTGGAAGGACTGATGCTGAAGCTGAAACTCCAATACTTTGGCCACCTGATGCGAAGAGCTGACTCATTGGAAAAGACCCTGATGCTGGGAAAGATTGAGGGCAGGAGGAGAAGGGGATGACAGAGGATGAGATGGTTGGATGGCATGAACAACTCAATGGACATGCGTTTGGGTGGACTCCGGGAGTTGGTGAGGGACAGGGAGGCCTGGCGTGCTGCGGACTATGGGGTCGCAAAGAGTAGGACACAACTGAGCAACTGAACTGAACTGAACATGCCCCCTATCCTGGTTGGGCTCAGCAGTGACGGGGCAGGTGGGCTGAGAGGATCCTGTGAGTATGGGGATGAACCGGGTCAAGCAGAGATTCAACCACCAGCCCCACTTCGAGATCTCCTGCTTGATTTCTGGGTTCCCCATAGCTAATGCTCTCCAGAATCAAGTGGAAAAGGTTCATCCCTGTGACTAAATGGCTGATGGGGTAATTGTGATGGATTTAAAAGGTTAAAAAATGGATTACTGAACTTCATACTGTTGGGAAAGAGCTTTATAAAGACCAGAAGGCTGCACACACCTTCAGTAAGGAAAAAGGACACTTTGTTTTGCTTAAAGTAATTTAACTGTTCATTAAAGTTTCCTTTCAAATGCTGAATAGCAGTAAATTTCCTGAATAAAGTGAATGCTGAATACTTTGAATTCCCTTTTTGATCTTAATTTGCAAAGAACTTGAACATCTTTCATGTCACTATTATTTTATTAAGTAAATTGAGGAAGGACACTCACTCTGTCCATTACTGACCACTGCTTTGGTAATACCCCAAATGCATTATGGTGATTTCATCTGGATATTGAAACAAATTAGACCATTTTCTACTTTTGAATTTACGAAAGCAATGATTCTCAGTGGTAATGCCACTCCTAGGGGAGCATTTTGGAGAAGGGAAAGGCTACCCACTCCAGTATTCTTGCCTGGAGAATCCCCATGGGCAGAGGAGCTTGGCAGACAGTCCGAGGGGGACCCCCTGCAGTCCATGGGGTAAGAGAGAGTCAGACATGACTGAGCAACTAGGCGCAGCATAGCACAGGGGAGCATTTTGGGAATACTGGAGTCCCTTCTGGTTGGCAATAGTAATCTGGGGAGCCAGGAATGTTAGGTGTCCTGCAGAGCACAATGGAGAAACGTCCCAGGGAACTCTGAAATACCCTGCTAACCTAAACCCACTGTAACTATAAATGAATGGTTCTTCACTGTGTGCTAACATGAGACATTTTTATAAGCAGTTACACAAAAAGTCCCACATTTAGAAACAGAAGCTTAATTATCTGAGACACTCCCTCCAAATTTCTGAATAAATTACTTACTATGTGCACTCTGCTGTCCAAGGTAGCATCGTATTTCCAATTATATATTTAGTTAAAAAGGTTAAAAGCCACAAAGCCAGTTGCAAATGTGCAACTGGTGATTTAGGATAACCAAAACACAATTTAATTAGTAGGACACATGTAAAGTAGGAGTCTTGATGGATTCATTAACAAAGGCTGTTTTAAACACAGTACCTATCAGCACCATCCAATTTATTTTAATTTTTACATTTTTCATAGCACAGAACAGATCCTGTCCCCAGGGGTCTTCACAGAGCTCCTGTCTCTTTTCCCCACATCACCAGTGAAAGAGCTTTGAAGGCCATTTGAGTAGAACGTATTCTTCAATATGTGGAAGGATTTCAAGATAAGAGATGTATTTCTAGTGATGCCTCACTGCCCTAACATTTCACGTCATAACGCGGAGAACTGTTATGACATTGTATTTATGAATAGGGCCAGGTCACTCTCGAGGCCCTCATTCTTCAGTTCCTCCACTTCGCCAGGCTGCGACCTGTCTCAGCACACTGGCCCTGCTATAAGAGCCTGCTACTTCTTTCCATTTGTGTGTCAGGTCCACCTCCATCACTTCGTTTTCTTCATAATCTTGTATGAAATGGCTTCTAGTCCTGCTTTCTTAAATTCAAACTTCTTCATTGTAAATACAAACGGCCTTCTACATCCACAGGTTCTGCATCTCTGGATTCAACCAACCTCAGATCAAAAATCCCTTCTCCAGTGGATCTTCCCGACCCAGGAATCAAACCGGAGTCTCCTGCATTGCAGGCAGAGTCTTGACCAACTGAGCTATCAGGGAAGCCCGGTAGCCACCCCAGTATTCTTGGGCTTCCCTTGTGGCTCAGAAGGTACAGAATGCAATGCGGGAGAGTCCTGGGTTGGATCCCTGAGTTGGGAAGATCCCCTGGAGAAGAGAGGGGCTACCCACACCAGTATTCTGGCCTGGAGAATTCCATGGACTGTAGAGTCCATGGGGTCACAAAGAGTCAGACACAAGTGAGCAACTTTCACTTTCAGATCGAAAATATTATGAAGAAAATTTCCAGAAAGTTCAAAAAAAGCAAAATTTAAATTTGCTGCATGCTTACAACTTACAACATAGCACTTACACTGTATGAGGTATCATAAGTAGCCTCAAGAGCTCTGTAGGTTATATGCAAATGTGGCACCATTTATAGGAGGAACTTGAACATCCCCGAATGTTGGTATTAGAGGAAGGGGTCTGGGAACCAATCCCCTGAGGATACCATGGGACAACTGTGAGTTCTAGCATGTGACTACTGCATGACGTCAGCTGGGGGTGGTCACCCCAGGAGGTCTACAGGTAAATACTTATTTTGCTATTAAAAATTATTTCCTTTTTCTTTCCTTTGCACATTACTCTTTGGGCATTTCATCAAGTTGTTGACTTGATGAGGCCGAAAGCTATTTCCTGTTGAGACAGTAAATGTCTGTTGGAGTGGAAGGCATTAGTACTGAAGAGAAAGCACAAGTGACAGACACAGTTCAATAGCAAAACCCAGAAATTTAATTGAAAAACAGGCAGAGGATCTAAATAGACATTTTTCTAAAGCAGACATAGAGATGGCTCATAAGTACATGAAAAGCTGCTCAATATCCCCCTAGTTATCAGGGAAATGCACATCAAGTAAAATACCACCTCACACCTATTAGCACAGATATAAAAAAGAATGTAAGTAACAAGTGATGTTGAAGACATGGAGACAAGAAAACTCTTGGGCACTGCTGCACTGTGCTTAGTCACTCAGCAATGTCCAACTCTTGGGGACCCCACGGACTGTAACTCGTCAGGCTCCTTTATCCATGGGGATTCTCCAGGCAAGAGTACTGAAGTGGGTTACCATGTCCTCCTCCAAGGGATCTTCCCAACCCAGGGATCGAACCCAGGTCTCCTGCATTGCAGGAGGATTCTTTACCAGCTAAGCCACCAGGGAAGCCTAAGAATACTGAATCAAGTAGCCCATCCCTTCTCCAGGGGATCTTCCTGACCAGGGATCAAACTGGGGTCTCCTGCATTGCAGGCGGATTCTTTACCAGCTGAGCTTCCAGGGAAGCCCCCGTGCACTGCTAGTGAGAAGTAAACTGGTGCAGCCGCCATGGAAAACACTGTGAAGGCTCCCCCCAAAGTTAGAAATAGAACTAATATATGACCTAGCAGTTCACTTCAGAAACATCTGAGGGCAACACAAACAGCAACTTGAAAAGACATCTGTATCCACATGTCCATTATAGCACAACTTACAATAGCCAAGATGTGAAGGAACCTAAGTATCTATCAATGAATGAATGGACAAAGAAGACATGGTATATATACAACAGAATATGATTCAGCCATAAAAAAGAAAGAAATCCTGTCATTTGTGACAACATGGACAGACCTTGGGAGGCATTAAATGAAGTAAGTCAGACAGAGAAAGACAAATACCGTATGATCTCATTTACATGTAGACTCTAAAAACAAACCAAAAAACACACCATGAACTCTTCAGAGAACAGACTGGGTTGCCAGAGGCAGGGGTGGAAGGTGGGTAAAATGGGTGAAGGTTCTGAAAATGTACAAAGTTCCAGTTATAAAGTAGATAAGTCCTGGGGAAGTAACATACACCATGGTCAGTTCAGTTCAGTTCAGTTGCTCAGTCATGTCTGACTCTTTGCAACCCCATGGACTGCAGCATGCCAGGCCTCCCCGTCCATCACCAACTCCCGGAGTTTACTTGAACTCATATACCATGGTAATTACAGTTAATAATACTGTACTATATATTTGAAAGTTGCTGACAGGGTAACTTTTTTCCTTTTTTTGGCTTCACATCACGGCTTGTGGGATCTTAGTTCCCCCACCAGGGATTGAACCTGGGCCCCAGCAGTGAGAGCACCAAATCCTAACCACTGAACTTCCAGGAAATTCCTGAGAGTAACTTAACTAGACATCGTGGTCATCATTTCACAAAGTACAGAAATACTAATCATTACATAGTGCACCTGGAAACTAATACTTCTGTGTCAATTATATATCTCAATTAAGAGGGGAGGCATGAGGGGGATGAAAGCAGCATCAGGGCAGGTGACCCCTGCAGGGCTCACATACCTGTCCGGGCACAGGGAGACGTAGAGCAGAAGCAGCAGGGGCCCGGCCCCGACGGCAGTGGCCAGGGAGGACCGCATCCAGGAGCTGAGCTGGCAGAAGTTGCAGTATTGCACCACGGCAGTCAGCACGGCGGAGCCCGTGAACACGGTGGACTGAAACGAGGGGAGGACTCGTGAGGACCCCAGTGCACCCACCTGCCTCCCTGCCGCCTGGGTACCTCGAGAGCAGATGACACACTCGTTTACCTGTCCTTCTGTGGAACAGAACACCCTCAGTTCAGGGGCAGATCATAATCCATGGGATTAATTAAGCACCCACAGTTTTCTCGCTTAGAGGTCTCACTGGCACTAAGATTCCTCTCCGATGTGTGGGAACCGCACACATCACCTCGGAGGGAAAGAAAGGCAGGCTGCCCCCATGAAGCCACCCTGTCATCAGTTCCCTCCCCAAAACCCATCCTGCAGGCACCCTGCTGCATGTCAGCGGAAATGAAACTGGGTGTGGAAATATCGAATGCAGCCAGCCTGCCAACACTTTGTGCTACACTTGCCGGCACCAGAAATACAATCTTGCACAGCAGCGTGAATTCACTCTTTATGGGTTTAACTTGGAAGCACCCTCCATGATCAACAGCAGCTGATCGAGGTGCCAGTGGATGGTTGGTGCCAGTTCTGCAGACTAAGGTTATTATTTTTACTTTTCTTTTAAAATGAAGTACAGATTACAGACAACAGCATATTACCCTGTAACATTTGGATATGTGGGACAGATGCTTCCTCATCAAATGTGTGAGGAGGAGATAACTGACTGGGATTTGGTGACACTTAGGGGATGGGACAGGACCCAGCCCCACGGGGGACAGGCAGGCCCTGGTCCAACCTCTGAGGCTGCTCCTCTGTCCCAGGCAAGTCTTTTAAAAAGACAAGTTCAGAAGACTGATTGGGTACGGGCCTCTGTGTTTAAATTCCTGTCTCAAGCCAGCAGGATTATTTAAAAAAAAAAAAAGTGATCTGTAAACCTAGAGGAGCCTGGACACAAAATCACTGTGACTCTACTTACGTGTATGTTTGTCTCAAACTCGGAGGTAACGTGTGAATACACCGCCAGGGCAGGGAGGGACACCAGGATGGCCCCGATGAAATGGCGCGGGAGCCAGCCGGCTATCCACTCCAGCAGGCGCTTGGTGCACGCCATCACGTCCTCCAGGAAAAACACCATCCTGGGGAGCGGGGAGAAAGGAAAATCAGGGTTTGGGTCTTTTCAGTGCCCCCTGGCCAAGGGCAGGCCCGCACAGGGCGCGGCTAGTTTGGGAGTGGGTCCCGAGCATGCTTGGTGAGGAGCTTGGAGCCGAGACACAGAGGGAGGCAGGCCCCAGAGCAGGCCTTGATGTGGGCAAAGGCAGCGAAACCCTTTGGCAAAGAGCTGAAGAGGCCTCAGAGGAGGCTGGATGTGAGTGTGGCGGGGAGGGGTCATGCACTGGAAGCTTCAGAGCCAGACCCAAAGCTAGTTTCCTGTCCTGGGATGTTGGGGAGGAGCAGAAACTCCAGGTCAGGGCCAGTCTCCCTATTTCTCTCTGACCCCCAGTGTGGGGCTGTCCTGAGAGCAGCAGGGCTGGAGGAAGGGGTGGGCCTGGGGCACCGCTGGCATTGGTAGAATCACTGTGAGCTCCTGGGGCTGCGGCTGAACCTGAAGGTAGGTTGGGCGGGTCCTGAGGGCCCTGCCTCCTAGAGGGGCCCTGATGTCTCTTCAGACCCTCTGTCCATTTTTAAATGGAGTGTCTTTTTATTATTGAACTAACATTCTAGACCCTTGTCATGGACACGATTGCAAATACTATTCTGTTCGGCATGTTCTCTTTCACTTGGGGGGTGAAAGGTGATGATGGTGTTCTTTGAAACACGAAAGTTTTAGATTCTAATGAAGTCCAACTTGGCTATGTTCTCTTTGGTTGCTCATGTTTCTGTGGCACCTTGAAGAAACCACTGCCTGACCCGAGCCCATGGACCTGGCCTGCGCTTCCTCTGGGGCTTTAGAGCTTCACTCTTGCACCCAGGAAAGGCCCCTCCCAGGCGCACCCTGCACACCTCCTTTTCTCTCTCTCTGCCCCTTATCTTCCCACTTTCTAACTGTCTGGTTTGGGCGCTCAAAGGACTTAACTGGTGGTGTCGAGGCCGCAGAGGACACTGACCTGCAGGTAAGGCGGGGGACCCCCTGTGCTGAGGGGTTCACCAGGGAGGAGCCTGTGAAGCAAGGCTGGGGCAGGGGAGAGAAGAGGACCGTCCAGAAATGCACTCACGGAGCCGGCTGGCAGTTACGCCAGCAGAGGGAGCTGAAGGCTAATAGCTGGGGAGCCGCTCGCAGGTGGGCCTTTACCTGACGGAGACCACGAGGGACAGGATCTCCAGCAGCAGGGCCGCTCCAAAGACTGCCAGGGCGGCCGGCGGGGGCGGCGTGGAGGCGGCCCCATACTTCAGGAAGCAGGTGATGGAGAGAATCAGAAACACTGTTGTCGACAGAAACACATCCAGGAGGGAGCTGAAGGTGGCACTGGCAAAAGTCTTCACGGGAGAGTTCTTTATAACCTGTTTGGGAGGTGGCGGTGGGGGAACGTTAACAGACACTGCTGGACGTACCCACCGGGAAGAAGGCGACCCAGGCGGAAAGCAGTGGATGTCTACAGAGCACTTGCCTCCCGCGGACCAGGTGCAGGGCGAGAAATGCTTCACACAGCCGTCTCCCTACTACTACCCCCTGCCCAACAGTGAGGAAACTGAGGCACAGAGAAGTGCAGAAATTTGTCCAAGGTCACAGAGCAGCTGACTACAAACCAGTAAATTCTCACAGGCGTGGGACACACTGAGCCCAAAATACGCTGGTGACAGAAAGTCACGTGCTAGAAGCCCGGTCCAGACTCAGGGCTTCAGGACAGAAGCAGAAGGCGGGGCTAGAGCAGCAGCAGGTCAGCAGTAACAGTGACGGCAAGAGTCTGCTCTGGGCCTGGGCCTGCATGGGGTGCAGGGGGACAGACAGGCGGGAAACAATGCCCCTGGGGGGCTCACAGCCTAATGGTGGGCAGACGAGGGTCTGAGATGGTGGTGTGGTCAGTGTGACAAAGCGACATGCACGGGGTATTAGGGCATCACAGCAAGGGGGAGAAATGATGACAAAGCCAGAGTCCGAGAGAGGCCAGCCCCAGGCACCAGGTGGACCCTTGCGGGGACCGGCCTCACTCCACGCTCACACAGTTCTTGAGGAGGAGATGCTCCTCGTCTGGGGGCACAGGTCAGAGGCCAAGGCAAGGGGCTACCCGAGGTCACACAGGCAAGGAGCCCGGCCAGGGCTGTGGTGCCTTGACCGCGTCACCTACTATCCCTGGGCCTCATTTCCTTATCTGGGAACAAGGATGAACTCTGGACCAACACCTTACGGGCGACGGTGATGCTTCACTGGGAAAATGCTGAGTGTGGTAGGGGCCTAAGTGGGGATGGCCTGGAGCCTTCCGCTGCTCCTGCAACCCTCCCGTCCTCGCCACCCTGCCCCAAGTTTCAGGGGCAGCACCCCACCTGCGCCCCAGACTACAGGCTCATCCACTCCCGTCACCTTCTATGGCTCGGCCACATGACCTCTACACAGCACAGTCTGATGGTGCCACCCCCTGTTCTGGATCCTTCCCAGCTCTCCTGGCCTTTGGCATAAGGTCCACCGTGCAGGAAGCTGCCCACCTGCCACCTCCACCCCATCTGCCAGATGGAAGCGCCCCCAGATCCCTGGAGGTACCCAGGCTTTGTCTCATCTCCAAGGTCTGTAGCTGCTGGCCCCTCTCTGGGACGTTCCCTCACTGGGTTAGCTGCCAGCCCTCCCACTGACACGGCTCCCTCTAGGCCCTCAAGCTGGGGTCGGTGTGCTTTGAGGGCCTTCCGGGACCCAGGGGTCTGGGGTCTGACTTCTGCCAGGTTACTGCTTCCCCGAGAGTGTCTGTCATCTCTCCGCCTCAGTCCCAGGAGCAGGATGCTCAGGGAGCATCCGGTGATGAGAGGGGTGGGTAGCCCGTGCCCGCTTCTAGGGAGACTCTGCACTCAGCACAGGGGTTGGGGGGTGTTCCACTCTGGCGATGGGGTCTCAGCCTCTCAGCCTTCCCTGGCCTTGGCTTTCTTTTGGCAAAATGGGGATCATCGTAAGCTTGCTTGAAAGGCTGCTATGTGGACTAAATGAGATGATGTTCTGCTCTCCAGGCACCAATCAACTGACTCCAAAGTCCACATGAGGAGCCCTGCCTGGGGTGTTCACAGGTATTCACGTCCCAAGAGGCTCATGAAATCCAATCCCACAGGCATGACCTGCCCTGTCTGTTTCACCAGGACTTTTGGGCCTGGTCGGGCCCTGGATGCAACAGGCACTAAGGGGTAATCCTCTGGATGAACAAATGGAAGTCGAAGGAGGAATCCTTTTGGCTCTGGGCTGGGAGGGTATGTGTTTTTGACCTTGTAACACTAAGCCGGGTTAGGTCTGTGAAGACTGCAAGGGGCTGGCTGCTTGTAACTCAAACCAGGCTCTAGGCTCCTGCGTCTGTCCATTGCTCCTATCAAGCCCCACCAAGCACTTGCAGGTTTGGGGACCGGATACCACACAGAGTAGAGAATAAGAGATGGGCTCCTGCCTGCCTCCCCAAGCTGAGAGTCCAGGGAGGGAGGCATATGATTCAACAGTCCCACAAGAAGAGGTTTCAAAAAGGGATTCCAGCTGTGAAGATATGGTGTAACGGGGGGGGGGGGGGGTGTATCCAGTCCGCAGTCAGGGACTATTTCTTGGAGGAAGTGACGTCTGGGCTTAGAGTTACAGGACAGCAGGAATTAAGGCAGGGGAGGGCAGTGGAAGGGAGCTCAGCCCTGAAACACCTGGGAAGGCCCAGCGAGGTGGCAGGCCTCTGACTCTTGTCCCATCTCAGTGGGAAGAAAGCCAACAGGGAACAGGGAGAAAAGTGCCGCTGGAGAACAGAACACGTGCGGCTGGAGCCCCCTCCCCATACTAGGCCTCCAGGGGCTGGAGCACGGCCGGGGAGCCTGGGCACCCACCACCTGAAGGGGAAGGAGACCAAGACCTGAGTTACTATAGAGAGATTTAGGGTTTCCTCCCTTGTGGTGATAAATTCACATACAGATGAAATTCAGGGCTTACATACAGACTGTGGAAGATCAAAATGAGCCTTCAATTTCCTGTTGCTCAGGAAAACGAAAAAAGGCTGCCCAAGCACAAGACTGAGAGCTACTTAGTAAAACCTGCATGTCTTTAGTAAAATTGTGAGGAAACACACACCTCTTCTTGATAACTGGTCCTGTAGGCCCGCTCAAGCTCCGGATCCAGGAAGTTCAAGCTGAACTGGTTAATAGGTGGCTTAAAAAAGTAGTCTTTCATCAGGCTAGAAGAGATGATAAATGCAATCAATCAACATGCAGCACAATAGTCACATTTATTCTATCACAGGACCACAATCAGCTACTGAGATGCCATTTGTGGAGCGTGTCACCAAGACTGTACCTGAAAGTCACTGCACAATAGACATTGCTCAACCACCCCTTTAGAACTCTCTGGAAAGTCCTTCATGCTTCTACACAGAATCCCATTTCAGGCTGCACCTCCATGAAAGAATGCCCATTCACCACAAATATAACACACAGCATTAGAACTGTGCTTTTGAAAACATCTTCTGGCATCCAGAATTAGAAGGAGGCGGCAGCTTTTTTTGTTCCATGAAATGCTCCCCTCTGAAGGACCAGCAGGTCCCTGCACGGATCGTGCTTATGTTGATTTGGAGGCTTCCTTGCACACATAATTCAGAACCGGCTGTCCTGTCACTCAGAGCACTGACAGTAATTACCACCGTCACTGCTAACAGGTTGTTATCACAAAATTGTGTTTACAGTCAGTGTAATTTTGGAGCTGTTGTCACATATGCAGATTGCATGTGAAACCTGAAAAATGATAATGCTCGATGATTTTAATAGCAGAGAAATCAAGCCTCCTTTACGTGACTCTCATTCTTTTACAGAAGGCTAGCAAACAGTCATATCCTTTTTATCCTGCAGAAAATTACTATAAGTCTAAAGGGACGTTAATATAATTTTAAAATGAAAATATAGCTGTGGGATGTCTCTCTGCTTCACACAGTAACTACCAGAATTATTAAAGCAGATGAAATACATGAAGTGCCTTTCAGGCACCCAACACACAATAAGGGTCACTGCACTTCCTCCTTTCCACGCTCAGACTGGACTCCTGGTGCTAAGTGTGAGATTCCTTACTGGCTCTCAGGCTCAGAAGAGAAAAAAATTCCAGCCCCAAGTGTTGACCGCCCCCGCACCCCCGCCGCATCTTCCCTTTCACTTGGTAAGTGTGGACAGAGGGAAAAACAACAAAGCAGCTACAAGGAGGAAACGTAATGGCTTTACTTCTGCAGTCAAGAGGCAAAGTGAAAGTTGCTCTGTCGTGTCCGACTCTGCGACCCCATGAACTATACAGTCCATGGAATTCTCTAGGCCAGAATACTGGAGTGGATAGTCATTCCCTTCTCTAGGGGATCTTCCCAATCCAGGAATCGAACCCAGGCCTCCTGCCCCTGGTGACTCAGTTGGTAAAGAATCTGCCTGTACTGCAAGAGACCTGGGTTCAATCCCCGGGTTGGGAAGATCCCCTGGAGAAGGGAATGACTACCCACCCCAGTATTCTGGCCTGGAGAATTCCATGGACTGTATAGTCCATGGGGTCACAAAGAGTCAAGAGGCAGGATCCACACTGTAAGCTGCGCTGCCCATGTGAAATGAATACTGGGCCATTCCAGTGCTTCTGGGAACAGGGATGAGCTCGTGTTGGATCAATCCGCTCTCAGACAGCGACCACACACCCTGAGGTGTTAGTCACTCGGTCGTGTCTAACTCATGACAACCCTAGGTACTCTAGCCCACTAGGCTCCTGTCTGTGGGATTTCCCAGGCAAGAATTCAAGAGTGGGTTGCCATTTCCTTCTCCAGGGGATCTTCTTGACCCAGGAATCGAACCTGAGTCTCCTACATTATAGGCAGATTCTTAACCATCCGAGTCTCAAGGTAAACCCTGAACAAAATATAAAAACAATTGGAAGGCACTGGCAATTGGACTGAGGCAGTAAGAAAATGGAGCTACATTTGGAAGAAGTTGAATTTGTGAGGGTTTTTCTCATCTGCAGAGAGCCATTAGTCAGCACCACATGTAGGAATGTCTAAAACTCAGAAAGAAAAGCTCCAGTCTCACTGATTTGGAAAACCAGGAGACAGAGTTGAGCATGCCCACAGATGGAAAATGAGATTGGACATCCCAGCAGGAGAGGACCAGAGAAAGGGGAGCCCTACATTCTGCACACAGGCTCTGCTCCCATCTCTGGCAGACCCTTGAAATGCACATGTGTGTGGCCGACTCCAAGCAGCCTAATATAGGCAAAAAGAACAGCTACTGCCCAGCTCAGGGGAGACAGAGTTTGGCATTTGAGTTCAGATCAGTTATCTGGCTGCTGAAACAAACAAAAAGTTGATACTCTTCAAAGGAATGTAACAGAATGGAGAGTTTTGTATACAATGTGCACAATATAATCCAAAATTACTAGACAAGCAAGGAAACAGGAAAACATGGTCACTCCTCAACAAAAAGCAATCAAAAAAAGAAACCAATCTGAGGTTACCAAGAGGTTGGAATTGGAAGTTGTTGTTTATAATGTATATATATGTAACATGTGAAAACCATAACTCAAAGGATGAGAGGAGAGTTAATGTACCTATACTGATATAAGATTTCTACATTTAAAGTGAAATGATACAATATTAACCATAGGAAGACTACAAAAATATAAGACCGCCTAGAGCAACCACTAAAAGAAAAATAATGCAAAGAGGTATGGCTAAAAAGAAAATACATTAAAATAAAAAGGCAGATATTGTCAGAGTGATTTAAAAAGCAAGACCCACAGGAGATGTACTTCAAATATAAAGACCCAGGTTAGAATTTTTTTTAATGGAAAATGATAGAGCATGCAAACAGTAACTAGAGTGACTGTTAATATCAGATAAAGCAGTCTTCAAGACAGAGTATTACTAGGCACAAAGCCAGACACTTCAAAATGATAAAAGGATTAATTACCAGTGTGTATTACCATGTATCACAAGCATGTGTGTACCTAAAAAAGAGCTTCAAAATACTTGAAACAAAGAAACAAAGACACAGACAATTCTGTGAGACAGATACAGACAATTCCATAACCATAGCTGGAGATTATTTATTATCTCAGTAACTGATAGAAATAATAATAATCTTATCAATTATCTCAACAGAAAAACAGCCCAAAATTTTAGTAGAGAGACACATGATCTGAACACTGCTGCCAACCACCTGAATCTAATTGAGGTTTACGGATCGCAACATCCTGAGAATGTAGAGCATTCATTCTTTTTAAGTGTGTATGGTACGTTCACCAAAACAGACCACAGGCAGAAATCACAGAACAAGTTCTAATGAATGCAAAAGGAATGAAGTCACATAATGAGTGTATGCCTTTGAATACAAAGACAATCAATCGAACATTAATAACTAATGTATCTAAGTATCATTTTTTCACTAGCCAGGGCTATTTGGAGAAATAAATAATGCCTGTGTTGGGGCAGGGAAAATAGAAAATGAGTTGTTGTGCTGGAAAGTAAGAAATGAATGAGCTAAAACAAATGAAACAAACGAAAGAGCTATGTCAAAAGGACGCAAGAGCCAGCCTGAATGGGGGCTTCCTATGGCCAGATTCAGGATGACTAGGGCATCACACTCATTAGGACAGTGATCAATGATGCCCTGTTAAGTAAAACAGGACTCCATGCAGGTCTACATGGATTTCCATGTCCATACATGGAGAGATTAAGTGGTAAGTGGGGAGAGGTTGTTCACTGCTGAATGCCAAATGTTAAGTGATGAACGTGCTGTCAGTACTGAAGCAGGACAGTCGCCATACTGACCAGCACAGTGAGGACTATTACAGGCAAGAGTCATCAGTGGAGACGAGTCAAGTGAAGTGTGATAAGGAATGGGATCTCTACATGATCCTACGGGTGGCTGACTAGTCACAGGGAGAAAACAGCAAGCACAGACTGGAGAAGCTGGCAACACTCGCCCAGCTGATCAATCTCACTGCCTGACGAAGGTCATCACAGAGGCGCCTCGGGCCTCTGGGTCTAGGGCTGGAGAAGACAAGTCCCCTCCATTGGGTATGGACACACCCACAGTCCAGACAGAATCCTCAAGGGACATCACACAAAGCCAACTTCAGGAAGATTTTATGTAAAAGCCTGGCCTGCGTGCTTCAAAAAGTCAATGTCTTGGAAGATGAAGGATGGTTGAGGAACTGCTCCCAGATTTGAAGATGGAAGAGATCTGACAACCACATAAACACAGTACGTGACCCTGGACTGGGTCTCAGACCAGAGGAGAGGACATGCTGTCGGGGACGCAGGGGGCCACCCCACAAAACCGGAACAGGAACTGCAGCCTGTAACTATGATCATATACAAGAACACCCCTGTCCTCAAGAAATACAGTTTTAAGGGGTAGAGAGCACAATGTGTCCAATGTATTGCAAATGGTTTAAAAAAAAAAAAAACAGGTAACTTTCACAGGGAGAGAAAAGAGGATGAAACAAGCACAGCAAAGCATTAAACGTTGGTAAACTGGGTATAAGGGGAATAAAGGGAATCCTCTGTATTATCCACTCTGTTAGTTTCGAATTACTGACACATTGATACTGGAGGGCAAACACATGGGGGGCGAGGGGGCTCAGAAAAGCAGCAGCGGGGGCGGGGGCTCTACCTGCAAACCTTGGCTGCATCTTACCTGTCTTCCTTGATAACATCGACAAAGTGGGCGTCCGTTTTCTCCCGGATGTTCTTGAACCTCAGCGGAAGGAGCGCCGACTGATCCAGGCTCACGCCTGCCCACCTGCCTTTCTCCTGTAAGATCTCGCACAGAGAGGTCTGACTGTTGGTGAGCTTCTCCTCCGGGGGAGGGCTCAGAAGTCCGTTTTGCGTTTTGGAGCTGGGTCCTCCAGAGGCCTGCATCAGGACAAGCGGGGCAAACGCAGAGGCTTGCGTGTGGGCCGCAGTAGCGCCATCCCCCGACGCAGCCACGCCAGAGGCCCCTGGACTGTGCCCCACACACCGCAACCTGCACCTCTGGGCCTCTGCTCTAACCCGAGCAACCGTCTGCTTCTCCCCACTCCCCCCGCTCCTCTAGGGGACCAGGAGAGTGGTATCGCAGGGAAGGCCAGTAAGGAGGTGGGGGCAGACTGAAGCTCTGGAGTTTCTTCTTTCTCACCCTAAGGATGCCCCTCTTCTCCTCAACATCCACCTTCCACCAGCCGCTGAGTCCAGCCCCATGGACCCTCCCTAACTCCCCTCAGCCACACGCCTTCAGGCCTCATTGCCGTCAGGGAGTCCCACCAGGTCAGCATCCATCCTGCTCTTTATCCGTCTGTCCAAAACCCAGAGGACTAGAAGGTGTGCGGTGATGTCACCCAGGAGGAGTTACCCTTGGAACTGAGAAGCTGACCCGACGGGACGTCCCCTCTGGTAGGCACACCGGGAGAGGCGCTGGCAAGGACCAGGGCCGAGAGCTGGTACCTTAGCGCTGTTCTTGGGCTCCTCCTGACAGCCGTTCTGGACCGCTCCGCCTTCTGCACCAGCTTCTGACTTGGGAGTGAATGTGATTCCGCACGATGGGCAGGTCTGTAAGAAAAGCACAGAGCGTAGGAGCTCACTCGGCAACACAACCTCACTATGTGACTCAGATGAGCCCGCTGCTGTTGCAAACTGTCACTCAAGAAGGGCACAACCCAATGGAAAGTTTACCAAACGTCTCAGGATGAGTTACAGAGGAACAGGCAGCGTGAAAATGGAAACACATCCACACAGAGGCCTGTACGTGAATGTACCCTAACAGGGGCTGCTCTTCAGCAGAAACAACTCAAATGTCCATCAATGGGTGACTGGATCAATGAAATGGGGGATGTCCATAGAACAAAACATTATTCAGCTCTCCAAAGGGATAAAGCCCTGATATACACGACAAAATGCATGAACCTTGAAAACTCGCTCAGTGAAAGCAGCCAGACGCAAGAGGCCACGTGTCATAGGACTCCATCCACATAAAATGTCTGGAAAAGGTGACTCCACAGAGACAGAAGGGAGACTAGTGGTTTACAGGAATGAGAGGTGTTAAGGGATGCAGGGTGACTGGAATGGGTGTGGGATTTCTTTTCAGGGGAATGAAGATGTTCTAAAATTGACCGTAGCGATGGCTGTACCACTGAATTAGATGCTCTACAAGGGTAAATTTTATTGTATATCAATCATATCTTAATAAAGCTCTTGTTAAACTAGCCGCTAACCCATACTCGAACCCTAAGTGAAGGTTCTCAAGCTCCCTGGGAAGGTGGGCTGTTCTTGCAAAGCAGAGGGATGAGATAACAGACCTAGCCCTTCTCACACGTTTGCAGGAATTAGTTGACCTCGAAAAGACCCAACACTGCCAGGTATAGTATTGATGCCACACAGGGAATATAGCCTGTAGTTACAATAACTACAAAGAGAAGATAACCTTTAAAAATGTCAACCACTATACTGTACACCTATAATTCTTGCCTGATGAATCCCAAGGACAGAGGAGACTGACAGGCTGCAGTCCATAGGGTCACACAGAGTCGGACACGGCTGATGAGACTTAGCATGCACAACTTATATCATATTGAACAAAAACCATACTTCAATTTTTAAACAAGTACTGACCTGGATAATATTGTGTTGGCCAAAAGGTTTGCTTGGATTTTCATACCATTGTGCAGAAAAACCCAAATGAACTTTTTAGCCAACCAAATAGAAAGGGCAGAGCTTTCAAATTTCTCACAAACCAGGGTTCAAATCCCTTTTCTTTTCTGGGGGAAATTGTATTGATTCTAAGATTAAAACAAATGAAACAGAAACCTTAGAGAAATATGTCTGCCCTGATGGAGATGTTCTCGTATCTTGACATTCCCTTGATCTCTGGGGGGAGCCCCTTGTGCTCCATGAGGGTCTCACCAAGTAACAGTGGATGGGTTTGATCCCCTGCCCCCTAGACACACAGCAGCTTGAACTATTTGCCAGCTTTGTTTTAATTGGATTAAAACACCCTACATACTGGGTTTTGTCAAGCACACAAATACCCCCTGTGAAACGTTTGCTAGATCATTAAAGGCCTTTCTCTCCTCTTGAGCAGCTGTCAGCAACTCTGACCCCAGGAAGCCCTCACTGGGGGATTTGGGGGCACGCCTGAATTGAGCAGCTGACATGCAGGGCAGCCTCTCTGAAGGCGCAGTGGGTCAAAGCCACTGTTCTAATGACAGCAGCTGCCATGACATGGAGACGCCTCCGTGCCTAGGACATGCCAATGCACCCTGTCAGGTCCTTATCCATGCAACACCCATGGTCTCATGTGCCTGATCTCTGTTAATAATCCTCCTGTCATTGCTGCAAGGCAGAAGTGACTGGCCACAGTGGGGGTCAGACAGCGGGGCTCCTGACCCCTGACCACCACAAAGCAGCCTCTCTCTGCCTCCTTTCCTGGCACAAAGGGGACCCAAGAATAATCCTGGCACTTTGATTGCCTCTGCCTCGTTCTCCTGAAGTGACCCAGGCAGTTACAGTCATCTCCTGGCTCCTTTAAGTGGCACCAAGGGAAGCTTCACCAAGACCAGCTAAGGTCCCTGGGACAAGGGACTGTTCTCACCAAGGCGTATGCTGGCTGTTGCCCAGGAAACCCAAGCTCCCCCGGAGACAGCCAGAAGCAAGCTCTGCATCTTCCCAGATTACCCCACAGCCGCCCCCATCGGGACGAAAGCTCTGGAGGGAAGGTTGTAACTATTTCTCTAATGCACCCAGGTGCCTCTGTATTTGTTTTTAACACATTTCACATTTCAACACACACACACCTTATATTCTCTTTAGAATGTATGGCACGGAGCTATAAGGTAATTTTTTCTTCAGAAGAGAAGGCTACTTCTCTTCACAAGATAAAACCAGCTCTAAGCCAACAGCTGTTAGGGGTGGGGGAGGGGGACAGGGAGACCTCTCTTCTGAGAATCAAGGAGGAAACATGAGGAAAGTCCTGCTTTGTCTGCTCAGTCTCAGCAAGCCTCCTAGGACCAGGGCCTCCGAAATTCGAGACGCAGGTAGACTGTGGCAGACAGGAGCACACACGCAGCAAGAGCACGAACGCCCCACTGGGGTCTGTGCTGAGTCCCCACGAGCACTGCGTAACACTGTGATCGGCCCATTTCCCACCCGAGGGCCCAGGGTCACAGGTGCAGACCCCATCCACACATGCGACATCTCTGGGTGAACAGGGGCCGCCTGCTGCAACCTGCCACAGGAGGGCCAGGCACCCTCCCCAAGCTAGCGGGTCGGCACAGGCATGCACACTCCCAAATGGATGACTGCTGTTAACAAAAATCCTAGAGAAAAGTAAAAGCCGCATATTAGAGGAAGACAGAAGCAGTAATTATTACAGAAAATGAAAGGCATCTAGAAGCGGTAAGAACAGCAAGCGGACAGCCTGCAAATACTGGAGGCAAAGTAACAAACAAATGAAACACACACCTGTAAGAACCAGGCACAAAACCTCCGAGTCAGGGAGTGCAGAACCCCGGAAACCTCCTCAGATTTCTGAGCCCTAAACGACCACTGAGTTTAATAACCGAGGCTGAGAAGGCAAGAAGAGTGTCGTTGTGCTGTGATAAAGTTCCATCAGAAAGTCAAAGTAAGAAAATATTTGGTATTTGGGGAAATCCCCTACATGTGCTACTCTACTACCTGATGATGCCAATTAAATGAGCTGGACTAACCTTCCAATTTCAATTCATGTGTAGTGTAGTATCTAACAATAATAACTATTTATAACAAAACAATACAAACATAATATTTTATATGTGTATACTTAATGTTTTACTTTGAAACACTTTTAGACTTAAATAGAGCGGGAAAGACAATTCAGGGAGTCCCATACGAAAACCCCAGCTTCACTGAAAGTTAGTATCTTACATGAACCTTGGTCCAGTTACCAAAACTAAGAGCTTAACACTGGCACCATACTATTAACCACACTGCAGATTTGAAAAAAAAAAAAAAATACTGATTTGTCAAGATTCATTCCACTATTTGCAACAGATTTTCTTTCACTGCATATATTTTACTTTATTTATTTATTCATTTTGGCCATGGCATGTGGCATGTGGGATCTTTGTTCCCCGACCACAGATGGAACCTGTGGCCCCAGCTGTGGAGTCCTAACCACTGGGCCACCAGGGAAGTCCCTGATGCAGTTTTCATTCAGATGTTCTTTTCCTGTTCCAGGATCCCATGCACACTTAGTCTCCTCCAGTCTCGGACACTTTTTAAGGGTCTTGGCCCTTGAACTTCGATTTATCTAATGTTTTCTCAGAAGCTGATGGAAGTTCAGGGTTTGAGGGAAGAATCCCACAGAGGGGATGACCTCTTCTCTGCACAACATGCGGTGGTGGGGGTACACAACACAGTTGGGTTTCATTCATCGTGATGCTAACCATCATTGAAGGTGGGCTATGCTAGGTTTTCCATTGCCAAGTTTCTCTGCTTCCCTTTATTTGTTCATATATTGGCTGAGCTGCACAGCTCGGGTGATCTCAGTTCCCTGACCGGGGACTGAACCTGGGCCAGGGCAGTGAAAGTGCAGAGCCATCACCACTAGGTCACCAGGGAACTCCCTCAATATCCTTCCCTTTAAAATGAGTAACTACCTGAGGGGAGATGCTTGGAGGCTATGCAAATGTCCTGTTTGTCCTTAAACTTTTATCCACTTCTGTTAGAACTCACCAATGGATCTTGCCTGAAGCAATTATTACTGTGATGCTCTAAAGCATCTTTCTCTCATTCTTTTTATAATCTATTAGCTGGAGTTTTTCTACAAGGAAGAGCTATCAATTTATACTTGATGTGCTTCCTCCTAATTGAAGGAAACATGCACACAACTAAAACTACAGACGCAACTTGAAAAGTCCTTTTTTAAAAAAAACAAACATACTTACTTTGCATCCACATTTCAGAGCCAGCATTCAGATTACTATTTACTTATTTGCACAGCAGCTTCATGGAGGTACAATTTACATCGTATCTACCCAACTCACCATCTAAAGTATATAATTCAATAATCTTTTGTACAGTCACAGAATTGTGCAACCATCACCACCAATTAACTCAGACAACTATTTACAATAAATACTTAATGTCTAAACTGACATAGGTTCGATCCCTGGGTCAGGAAGATCCGCTGGAGGAGGAAATGGCACCCACTCCAGTATTCTTGCCTGGAAAATCCCATATATCTATGGGATTTATGAGGAGCCTGGCGGGCTATAGCCCATGGGGTTGCAGAGTCAGAAATGACTGAGCACTCATGCACAAACTACACACACAGACAGAGAAAGAGAAAAGTCTACTACTTTTTCCATCTATTGATACAATGAAATAAAAGTCTTTACATAATGATTCATAATGATTTCACATATAAGTAACAAGGAGATAAAAGAGGAGATCATTTTCTTAGAGTCATTTAAAAAGCCACAGCAACTGAAACAGCAGGGTGGTCCCAGGTGTGCGTGTGCAAGCTAAGTCGCTTCAGTCATGTCCGACTGTGCAACCCTATGGACTATAGCCTGCCAGGCTCCTCTGTCCATGGGATTCTCCAGGCAAGAATACTCGACTGGGTTGCCATGCTCTCCTCCAGGGGATCTTCCTGACCCAGGGATTGAACCCGCATCTCTTGCCTCTCCTGCATAGGCAGACAGATTCTTTACCACAAGAGTCATATAAGTATAATATAACCCATATGAGCTGGAACAGGTCCTCTATGAATATCACCCCTACATGGGCAAATCCACACCACTAGCCTCATTACCAACTGCAAACAGGGAGAAAGGCCCCGTGAGCACATGCCCTGGATTCTGAATAAGGGACTGAGGCAAATGCACGAAGACCAGCCGAGCAGCTGCCTCCTGGGGAGGCCTTTCAGAGGCGACGTAAGATGCTCTCACAGCTCATGGGGCTCAGTGGGTGAGTGCCAGCGCTCTAGGGGACCCCTTTCCCACAATATGTGATGCCAGGACCTTCCTGAGCAGCATCACTCACAGCCAGTCACTCAAGAAGCCAAGACCTGGGTGTGAAGGGTTCCCTCTGACCTAAAACCTCAGGGCCAAAGCCCTTGACCTCTGACATCACTATTGTTTCATAGCAGGTCATCACCGTACTCAGACTATCTTATGAAATATCAGATGGCAATTCTCCAGCTGTGAACTGGGTGATAACTTACAGACACATGAGGTACGAGTGACAGGAGCAGAAAACAAGAGCTTTGCAGGCATTCACCTTGGCTCTGTTCAGTTCTGCCCAGGCAACCAGTGCAGCCCTCGGTCTAGCTCTGCAGAGTTACAGGTCTCTGTGCATCATTAAAAAATTTAAAAAAGCCAAAAGGAAGTTGTATTTATCTACTTCATGCCAGGCACCGTGCTAGGCACTCAGGAGAAACTGAAGTTATGTAACACATTGGCCCTGCATGCAAAGAGCTCACAGAAAGGCGCAAAAGAAATGAAAGCACATATTTCAGGCTGCGTGTGTTATAACCAGGCGGTACAGACTAACTGAGCTAGACTTCAGAGACAGAGAGGCGGCATTACGAGCTGGAGGAATCACAGGAAACTAAGGGGCAGGGCAACAAGAAGAGGGGAGTCTGTGGGGACAAGGAAGCAAGCGCATCACAAGCGAGAGGCGTGACAGGACCAGACGCGTGGATTCACTCCCCAAGAGTTCATGGACTTTCCTCTAAGTCCTTGGTTCTTTTTTGAAACTGCAGCTGAGTCACTCTAACACCGTGTTCCCCTGCGGAGTTTATGATCAATCTCTCTATCAAAAACCTTATCCCTTTCCTGTGCTCTCTGACCTCAACTCTGGGCTAACTAAACACGCCTTGGCCAGCGTCAGGAGACTAAGATGGTGTCGGCGACAGCATCATTAGTGTGTTGAATTGCTGCTGTCGGCATCACCATCAGGTTGCTTTTTCCAGGGTTAGATGAGCCACAGACCCCCAGCCATGGGACACCTGGGACCCCAGGCCAGAGAATCATGAACCAGAGCCATCCTGACTCCTGAAATCACAATTAAGAAATGCCACAACACGATGACTAACTCCGCAAAGAGACATTTTCAGTGTCCCTTAACCCACACTGACTTGACTGCAGAACACTTTTTTCATACTTGACACCTATGCTATCCTGAGAAACCACTGCTCAAGGGAACCTACTTGGGGAAACCCTCTCTATGACAGGCCCCCTCAGCTGGGCAGGGTTTCCCGTGCTGGGCAGGGGTCAGGGGGATATAGGGAGATAGAAATGCCCACGAGAGCCAACTCTTGATGGCCAGGGTGGCAGCAGCATCCAAGGGAAAGAAGACTGTGGACAGAGAGAGTCTGCAGATCCTGGGAAAGGATGGGGAGGAACTTGTCTGTGACCCAGCAAATTAGAAAGGCTCACGGTAGTGTGGATGACACAGGCGACAGGCCAGGGGCCCACGTGAGGCGTTGCCCGCTCACAGGAGGAATCCTCCCAGAGACCCGGGGCCAGTGAGTGCTCGTGCACTTGTGCACTGTTCAGAGACTCCTGCCGGAGGGGAGGCCTTGCCTGTCAGATTGTAATCTACGTACTCTTTACAGCAGACCCCAGTGTTCTGCTTTTTGAGTCCAGGATGACAGTTCACAGCGACTCACTCAGGTCCCCGGAGCGTGTGACCCTCAGTCGCATGCCCTAGCCCAGCCGACGCCCAGGAACCAGGGCCCAGAGCAGGGCCATGAGAAGGGACCCTGAGTGGCAAACTCTGGCATGGAGACCAGGCCTCCTGTCTCCTCTTGCTCCTTCCACTCTGTGAATCTAGGAACGCTATCTTCAGGGTGTCCTCGTCTCAGGATGGGGATGTCCTGTTATCTTCCCCAAATTAATGTGAGAGTATATTTCATATGCTCTCATCGTCCCCTCCGGGAAGGGGCACAGAGATCCTTCAGGGATCACAAGATTATCTGGAAAACTTACACATGGCAATAGAGAATGCTAAATTGCTTTTGCCTAACCAGACCCAAAATACGCAAGTATATAAGTAGATTTATAGCCAGAATAAGAAATGTTGTCGGGAGGACAGAGCACCTTCGTAAGGCAACTGAGTGCAAAACTGCTGTCGCTAATGCTGCAGGCGTGTGGCACGGTGAGGTCCACGAGGGCCCCGCCCTCACAAACACACGCACATACATCATCTCAAGTGGCACACAGATGCAATGAAGCGCTTACTTCTGGCTTGAGCTGCTTCTCTACTTGACTACAGTCCAGTTGGAAGCCTGAGGAAACACTTGCTCCTCCGGTAAGAAGGCCGGACTTGGAAGCCACGCCTTTGTTCCCTCCCTGCTCTTGCCGGCCTGGCCTGTGCTCGGCGCTGGCCGCTGAGCGGCGCGGTGGGGTGGGGTGGGACGGGGTTCCTCTCTCTGACTCCTGTGAGACAGCAGCCCAGGCAAAGGAGCTGGCTCCAAGTGTGCAGGCACTGCAGAGCTCTCCGCCACACCCACCGTGGCACACCCGCCTGAGCGCGTGCGGGAGGAGGGGCTAACACCCTCTCCTCAGCGGGGAGTGACTACCTCTCCCTCCCGAGGGGCCGCGGGGAGGGGGTGCTCCTGGCTTCCAGCCGGGGGAGGCCAGGGAGGCTGCTTAGCATCACACAGTGCACAGGATGCCCCCATCACAGGAGTTCTCCACGCAGAGTGTCGATGGAGTCGAGGCTGAAGCTGACACCAGTGGTGTCGAGACTGAGGAACCCTGCCCCGAGGGAACAAAGCACGTGATGGGAAAGATGCGTGTGTGGTCCACAAACCTGAGCACGGGAGCCACACACGGCACCTGGAGGAGAGGCACCACGGAGTCCAACAAAGTGAAACAAGCTGAAGGCTGCAGCCCAGTGTCACACCATGAGACACCAAGACCGCTAGCCTTCAACTGTGTTAATGGACGAGGACACACGGGAGCGTGCTGGGTCACAGCCACATCGGCAGGCCATCATCCTGACCACACGTCACAGTGTTATTCGAGAGCACAGAACAGTGAAGTGCAAAGGTTTTAACTGTCTCTTTAAAAAAAAAAAAAAGAAACGGCAAATATGTAAACTGTAAAAATAAACAAAAGGTATCAGTACAGTGGGGGAACTACATCAACTGGAGGAACGACTCACATATTAGAGTGCTTTTGCAGGCTCAGGGGCCCATTGTGTTAATTCCTTGGTGGTTTGTTAGGACAGGAATGGGTGCAGCCATGCAACCACCAGGTGATCTCTGTCCCACTGATGAACTTCTAGAATGTTCCCGGCGAGCCTGCACTCTTCCAATGAGGTATACAGCACGGACTTTATCCACACCAACAAAACTTAAAATAATTATATAAAACCCTGGATTTCAGGAGACGTATGAGTACTTGAGAAAGTGGTCTCTGAAATAAGATATGAACTAGGTCTCAAAGCAAGACGCTGAGAGAATCACCTTGACTATTATCATGTTTCGTGAGCTTTCAGAAATGCCCCCAAGACATCGTAGTTCATAGAGAAAGAAAACAGTAACTCAAGTTAAAGCAAGTCTATGTGCAAAAAGAAAATGGTGGTGCATAGAATATCATAAAAGCAAAGATATTAAAAATGCAAAATGCTGCTAACCTTATACTAAATTTTAAAATGTTTAAAAAAAAAAAATAAAAGGGCATTCCAAGTCTCTGCCACAGACCTGAAGGCTGCTTATTATTTCACATGTTCTACTGCAGAATTAAATATCATGTTTTAGAAGTAGAAAAAAAAAAAACTAACCTTAAGGTTATCAAAGGTTTTGACAGTCTGCGCCAAGTCACTGACACTCCCTGGCGATGCTGTCCCCTGTCCCCTAGGGCCTGAGGACACCCGCGAGCCGTCAAGGACCTCAAAGCCAGAAAGCAAGGCCTCTGAACAGCTGCAGTGAGACTCCTTCGCTCTCTGACCCGCTATCAGGTATGTCTTCAAACCTATGGATAAAAATTACAGTCAGCACAGGTGACACCAGCGGTGGTCAAAGCACAGCTCCGTCCTGTTCTCTGCGCGGGACACTCTCCTGCAAAGTTGAGAGTAAAGTGAAAATGAGAAAAGGTCATATTTTCACTACTGCACCCGTGAGCTTCCCAAAGACGCACAGCCTCACGGAGAACACCCGCCTCTAGGACACACCGTGTCTTCCAGCTGTGTTTCCTCTGAGTGGCGGCAGCTTGTGTCACATTCTGGGACTGAAATGGGGGTTAAAAGTCCCTCTTTGGAAGGGTCTCATGGCCTCTTTCTGCCAGCGGCAGAGCCCACTAATGGTGGACCCTCTACAATTCTGGGGTTTGTTTCTATCTGGAGAGACCAGTTGTTGATCTTCATATTGGCCACTCTAGACATGAGGGTCATTACAGACTGTGTTACCTACATCAGGGACTGCCAACCACCCTGAAGGGGGAGACCAGGATGTGCACCATCAGGGAACTCAGCCCTCCCTCGCTTCACATTCATCAAGTTTCTATGGGATCCAGACATTCATGGCAAGAACATCAGCATATGTCAAGCTGCCATCTATGTGAATTTTATTCTCTCACCAAATCCCCATTTAAAACAAATGAAAAAAGCTGGTTAAGTGGACACTTAGCCTACAACTTTACAATGCCCACTAAAGGCTGCAGTAGCAGTATACACTCCCCCGGGAAGCCACTGTGACAGGTGGTGGGCCCTGCTCTGGGTGTGCAGGACTATCTGCTGGGAAGGTAACAAGGAACAGCTTTTCCAGATGGAACCCAAGGGCTTTCTGAAAAAGAAGCAAGCCTGACTGAAAGAAATCCATTGTTAGTCTTTACTGGAATTTGACCCAGACTGTGAATTTATGAAAGGGAGTGACAATGTGATTTATTCAATAAATATTTATTTTAGGCCTGGTGTATGCTGTACACAGAGAATAAAATCAGAACAAAGCAGGGTTTCCATCTTAAAGAGTTTAAGCTGCAGCAGAAGGTGGTAAAGAAAAGCCATCATGGAGAGACTCAATCAAGAGGTGGCCAGTGTCTACACTTCTGAATCCAAAGTTTCTCGCAATCAATTCATATTTAATAAATACTCTAAAATTAATCAAATGACCCTGGGACTAATTCCTCAATAATCCTTAATCATTGTATAGTTAAACCATCTTGTCACTGCATCTTTCTTTCTCTCCCGCTCTCCTTGTAAAATACTGTATGGTGTACTTTTTTTCTCATGTATGTTTTTAAGTCAACTATTCTGAGAATCTGTCAAGGACGCCGAGGACACCTAAAGACACCCAGGAGTGCAGCCAACTCAGAGGTGGGAATCCAAAGATTGAGATAAATAATTTCAGATGCTGACTGACTCCAAGGAGAGTATCAAATGCTCACTCTTAACCTGAGGTCCTGAACTTCCACATATTTTTTTCCAAAAAAAATATACATCCCAAATATGCATACGATTAGTCACAGTCCTGACTGCACATAAACTAGAGAGGGATGTTAACTAGAATATCTCTGCCTGGGGATGCAGGGCCCAGCACCAGCTCCACAGCACGAGCTCTGATGCCTGCCGTCGGGGGGACACCCCTGAGGCTTGTTGTTGTTCTCGCTCTGAATTGTGGCTACTGAGCTGCCACTCACCGAGCAAACGTGTATCAGGAGCCTCTGTTTACGATGCACTGTGATCATGCTGGGGGGATAAGTGTGAACACAGTGGCCACAGCCCTCCCCATACAGGCAGCTCCTGCAGGGGAACCTCGGGAGCGGGTCCAGGCCCAGAAGGCACGGGATGGGGTGCACCTTGCAAAAAGACTCAGTGGTTCAGGGAGGCCTCCTGGGTGATGTCTCCTCCACGCTGAGGAAGACGATAAAGAGAGACCAGTTCCGTGAGAGCTGCCAGGACCAGGGGCGGGGGCAGCCGTGGTCAGGCTGTGGGTGTCGACAGAAAAACTGGGGAAGTGGCCTCCAGAAAGGGAGTGTTTGGTGGGCAGAGTCGGGGATGGAGGTGAGTGTCGCGTGGCTGGAACAGAGGACATGTGGGGGAGAGGGGTGGTCACAGAGGGGCTGGAGTCCATGCCCTGCACTGGGTGGGCCGACTCCAGGAACCTTCACGCTGGGGCCATGGGGAGAAGGTGTAAGAAGCAGGCAGGAGGCTGAGGAGAAACCGGGGAGCCCTGGAAACACTGACCACAAGTGGGTGCGGAGGGAGTCAGGGGACAAGGGAGGTGGGAGACAATGGGCAGAAACCTGCTCCCCAAAGTGTGGGGCAGCAGGAAGGCTTCGTGGCAGGCAGGTGTGACGGGTGAGGGCGCGTGGCTTCTGAGGGCGGGAGAGCCCAGGGCTTCAGGCTCCATCCCTTCGATACATGTGACAGGGTGAGACTCTTCATGGCTCTGCATCCCACTGAGAACAGGACTCACCCCACAGGGCTGACTCGAGGATTAAATGATTAGCACACGTGTGGCCTTCACAGCAGTGCCTGGCACACAGCAAAAAGTCAGTAACATTAGCTACTATTATCAACCAGTGTGTTTGGCCTGCTTATCGCTGGGACTCTTTTTTTATGCTCCTTCTATGTACAAAAGTATTTGGAGGACTGTTAAATCAATAACTGCTCCGAATTTGCTCCTAACTTGAATTTTCCTCTGGGGAGCCCCTAGTGACCAACCTGTATTAGTAACACAGCAGTACTAGTATTCCAAAGGACAGACACACGGATGTGTGACCAAATCGGTGATCAAGTTAAGCAACGTTCAACTTACGCTTTAATATGAAAAGTTTAAGTCTAAAGTGTAGCCTTCTGCTGAAACCGGAGTGGCAAGTGTGACATAGCCAGGCCGGATATGAGCTATCCCAGGGAAGGTACTTGGGCCGGGCGACTGGGCTGCAACCCCTTTAGAGTCTCCAGTCAAGAGAGGTCATAAGACACAAGGATTTAATGAGTAACCACGCAGAGAGAACCAGGGGTCCAAGTTCGTTAGGACAGCTCTCTTTGAGCGGAAGGGCAAAATAAGGCAGCTGAATTATTTATTTTCTTATGTACAGTGTAAACAGGAGAACAATTAATAAGATTTCTTATATTCTTTCCTGGTAATTGACTTTGAACCTCACCAGCATGGATGCCTTCCACTGGCTTAATTTCATAGCAGCTAGAGAAGGTACCCGGAACTTCCAACGGGCAGAAGTGCCACCTGTGGCTACATGTGCTCAAGAGGCTGACGTAGTCCACAATCTTAACTACAGCATCAATTCTTTGAGGAGAAAACCTAAGCCTTGCACACAACTCGTGTCTAGTTTTCGTAAGCTGAGTGTAATTTGAGTGAGTGCCAAAGTTCATTTTGAAAAAGAAAGACGATTCTGGCCTCTTTATTTCAGTCTTTTTCTGCAGGACTTTTCCTCTGGAGGGCGATATCCCAACCCAAGAACCAAGGACATGAGTGTCAACCCGAAACCCGAAAGAAAAGAGGAGACTAATCAGGAAGGAAAGAATGCCTGGAGGCATGACCTTGGGAGTTAGAGGTGTGACACAGCGGACGCCTGGGAGCTTAAAACAATAAATGTAAGGGGAGGCCATCAGTTTGGGCTAATTCAGAACCAAACAGTCTAAAAACTCACTTCACTTTGTAACAAATTTTTCCTCCTAACTAGGTCTGTGATGAGGATTATTTACACTAAATGCAGTCAGTCAACACAGAAAATAAGTGTTCAACCTTAATCTACCAAATAACCACGGCCTACAAAATTATAGATATTTCATAACTATCTATTGCTTCTGCTTAAGAAGACCAAAAGTTTTGGTGGGGAAAAAAAAAGTATTTTCCATCTTGTTAACATCAAAACATTGTGGACGGACCTAAGCCCTCTCTACTCCTACATGAAACAATTAATTAATTGCAAGTAGGTGATTCATCCTGATTGTCGCAACACTTGACAGTAAATCACAAGTTCTCAAGATAGCAAATGGCTTCGGGTGAAACTTACGCTCTTCTAAAAAAGTGAAGTGATGGGCACGGTGCCTGCGTGGCTTGATCTTGACTACAGCTTTAGCCCAACCCACAAACTCTTACAAGAACACACATGTGCACACAATTGCCCCACACCTGCTCCTGCGGCTGGCGCCCCCAGTGCCAGCCTCCGTTTTCTCGCAGGAATGGGTACATATCACGGCCAAAGGTGAGTGACCGGGCAGTCACCTAGAGACCACGTTCCCATGAGCTGTCTTCTGAACTTTCCTACCTGGCAAGAGGACGTGCTACCCTGTTCAGTGCTGGAAACCAACACAGGGAGAGGCCAGTGTAACCACCTTCAAAGACCCACTCCCTCCACCTCTAAGAAGCTCCTGAATTAGGGTTTAATACCACAGGTCTTCAAGAGCTACAAAATGAGTTCTTTGAAAGACTGCGTTTGGCTGTTTATGGAAACAGCCTGCCAGGTACTAACCATCTCTTTCATTCATTGGCTCATTCTCACATTCACTTACCCAGCAAACAAAATATTTACTGAGTAACCTACTGAGGGCAGGGACCTGGGCTGAGTGTTGAAAGAAATGGATAAGAAAAAGGACTGCTCCAGTGTTTGCAACAGTGCAGATGAAAACCGTGACCTAAAATGGAAATACAAGTCACCTCATGATGACCCACCTCACAGGGCTTATGTGAGGATTAAAGGAGTCAGTGCTTCCCCTCAGGGCAGCTCCAGGAACACTCCAGAGGAACTCAGAGTAGACGAGGAAGGGCATGCAGTAATGCTCACAAAGAGTTAAATGGGAGGCTGGCGGTGAGGGTGAGCACAGTGACTACCGACCAGAAGAGAGAACCACGTGAAGTCAAATCTGTGCTGGCAGGCGGTTCACCAGTGAGAAAGGCATATTTACAGTGAGTTTTAGAAAACAAAAGGAAAGTGAAGGTCTATGGTAACTATTCTGGAATACTACATATGACAGAATTAAACAATCAGAAGAGACTACAAAACAAGACAGC